AAAAAGTACTTGGCAAAACCTTTTCTACCAACTTTATTATTGTCAAAATAAGCTGACATGCCCATGTAGGCAAGACTAGCATGCATTTCTGATCTGAAAATAATTTATATTTTGAAAAACTTAATTTAAAATTATATTGTGCAGAAATGTCTTGTTTTAGATATTCTTTAAGAGAACAAGATACAATCAACACTAATGATAGCTTATGTAAACCTGTATCAAATTACATATTAACATTATTCTCAATAAATGAAATATTTAAATTATAACATTCACGTACACATTAATTAGATTAAGAGTATATTTGAGTCTCATTTAATACATAAAAATTGATAAAATATAATTTGCTATTAACAGCAGAGTATATATTTGAAGTACACTGTGACAAAATTGTGCAGATTTTTAGAATGGAGTATTGCCAAAATATTTTATTTAAATAATTTGACTTTTAAATCAAAATACTGTTAAAATATCAATATGAACTTAAAAATTCAGCTACCTATTTAATTTCAAATAATATAAAATGAAACTTGTCTAAAAAAAATCTATTATATAGAAGCATTTTTGAATTGTTGCTTCGTTTTTTCTCTAAAAAAAATGTTACATAAATTTACAAATTTTTTTTATACGCAATAAAATCATTTTGAATCTCTCCTATGCGTATTAAGCATTTAATTAACAATTGATGGCTCGGAAATTTGTTCAAAATATTTTAAATATTTTCGTACTATTTGAAAGTTTTGATATTTGTAACTTATTTATCACATAAGATTTGAAACGTTCGGAAATTCGTTGCAATTCTATACTTTTCTCGTATTCTCAGCTGTTTCTATCAATACATAATTTTCACTGAACAGCTTGAAATTATTAATCTGCAATTTATTATCGGCAGAAATTCGTAGACAGAATTCTAACTTTAATGCAATTTTTTCATTTTATAGTTTTTCTGAACAGTTTGATCATTTTCTAATGTACAATAATTAAAGAATCAAGTAAATTTATGTATTATTCATTATAAAAAATATTTTATAGACTAAAAAGTTCTTAAGGGTAAAATCTTTTCAGTTTTAATAAATTGTTACTAAGTAGTGTTTTACATTTTTTAAAATAAAAAGATTGGCAACGCAACATTTAGATTACAAATGAGTGAAGGAATCAAAATATAAAATGGATACAAATTATACGACCGAAGATTGAAATTTATATCATCACTTATATTTTAATTTTATGAAGGCAATTAGGAAATATGTGAACGATAAGTAGCATTAAACAAATATATTTATGTGTATATATGTATATATATTTGTACATTTACAAATACATTTTTATCTATCTAATATTGTATATGGAGCATTGTGCTACAATTTATCTAAAAATTTTAGAAAGTTTGCTAATTAAAAATATATGGAGAAAGAGTGAGTTATACACTTGAGGATTTATATGAATTAAAAGTTTATATTTTCACATAATTAAATAAAAAAAAAATAAACTTAATATACTCTTGTTTTGCTGTTTACAGGAATACCAATACATAGATCTTTGGCAAAACTTAAGAATAAAATGACTTGAATTATTTTTGATATCTGATATGCATTAAGAAACCTTACAAGGTATTTCATTACATGTGTAATTGTTATAGAATTATGGAAAATATAGGGTGGAAAAGAATGAGCTGTATATTTCTCATCATAGGAATGTTTAAGAAAAATATATTTTTGAACATAAATGATAAAGAAACTAAATGTAAAGAAAAAATTGTCCAAAAAATAAAATTGAGTAATTTTCAAATATTAAATCTTGTGAGAAAGAATTATTTTAAATATATATCATACTAACAATGCACCAAGAAGAGAAAAACTACAGTTCCATCTTTTCACCAGAAAGTTCACGATCTATCAAATATTCTCCCATTCCACTGTCCATGCGTCTCAACTTTGTGACGTAAGTGTTTATTTCGTCGATAGACTCCACCTGTTCAGTCAAATATTCATTTTCCAAAAAGTCCATCAAATGTGGATCTTTGCAAGGTCTCTCTGCTAAACCATGCAAATGATGTAATTTGTTATTTACAGATTCTTCCAATCTCAAGGCCTCTTCCATTGCATCCAAACCACTTCTCCAAGTATAATTAGATGGCATCTTGATGTTAAACACACCAATTTGGCCACCTCGTCTATTGACGTAATCAATCAGTTTTTGAGCATGTTCTCTTTCTTCTTTAGAATTTTCCAAAAAGTACTTGGCAAAACCTTTTCTACCAACTTTATTATTGTCAAAATAAGCTGACATGCCCATGTAGGCAAGACTAGCATGCATTTCTGATCTCAAAATAATTTATATTTTGAAAAACTTAATTTAAAATTATATTGTGCAGAAATGTCTTGCTTTAGATATACACGTATACCTCGACTTACGTCCTTCCCGATTATACGTCGTTTGTCAAAAAAGTATATGGAAAAATAAAAATCAAGTTTAATTAATTAAGTCATTATATTCGACTGTACGTCTGTCCACCACAAATTTTGAAGTCGTAATATCACTAGAAAAGCGTTTGAAGGACATAAAATCTTATTAATTTAAATACCGACTTACGTGGTCTTTTCTGGAACCAATTACCGACGTAAGGCGAGGTATACCTGTACTGAAGGAAAAAGTGGAAACACTTAAATAAAATAAACTTATTTAATCTATTCGTGTAAAAATAAAACAAAATTAAAAATAATTTCATTCTTATATTATTTCAAATTGTCATATAGCCGAATGTTAAGACAAATATTTATCAAGGGGGGTATGACTACGTCGTACCTCCGTGCATCGGCTTTCAAGTCAAAAAGAATTGCCCACTAGTCAGAGATGGCTTAAATTTTCTTTAGTTTATTCCGAAAGAACGAAATTAAAATTTTTGTATCGAGTGGAGGAGGGAAGAGTGCCGTCGATAAGGTGATAGGCGATATACGAGTAAAACAGGACACCAATTTAACAAAGAAACAACGATTTATTAATTATCTATATAGACGGTACAATAACTATTATCAAGGAAAATTTTGGAGTCCGTAAAACGCGAATGGTCGACAGAGAGTTCACAAAAGTTTGCTCCATACCTCTTTATCTATTTGAATCTCCAAAAGAGGAAAAATCCACCGGGCCGTCCAGGGGTCGTAAATGAATAGCCAATCAGCCGGTCGCTGATTGGCTAATCATTTGGATTAGCCAATCAGCTTCTTGACCGTCTTGTGAGAGACCAGAGACGGTGACCAGAATATGGCCCCAGATTCGAAACAGGGCACCAAGTTAAAGATAAATCCTAGAGTATGTATTACTACTACCGTTAATGAGCGACTCCTGGAGGGAAAGGAAAAGTGGCTTTTATCGTTTTGCGATGTGAAAACTGTAATGTGACTAATTAGTTGCGAAATAAAAGGTGTGCGGAAAAGTCAAGTTGTTACAGAACCCAAATAAAATCACTAAATCGTATGTTAAACATCATCTTTTAATATTATGTTCGTAGTGGGGGAAAATTGTCGAGATGGGCAAATGTTTACCTTGAAAACAAGAGGAGATTAAATTTCTTTCTCTTCCAAGTTGTTTTTCACTCTAGTTTCTTAGAGAATTTAATTGAGCTTTTAGGTAAAACGGGACATTGATCGGGAAAAAAATCGCTAGAAAATCCGGATTTACATTAATTTATGAAATATCAGAAATTAGACCAAGAATATGTCACGATTTAGATAAACTGAATGAAAAAAACTGGAAAAGCTAAAATAAAATAAACTTATATTATCTTTTCATGTATAAATAAAAAAAATTCGAATATAATCTCGTTTTGGTGTTATGTTATTTCATACAATTATCGTGTTTTAATTTTCTTGGAACAATCAATTCGATATATACTTTTTCGTAATTATTTCATGGTATTCAATTATGTTTCTCTCGATAATCGTCTAGTAATTGCTGTACTTTAATAATAACACTACAAAGTGACGAGACGATAAATTGCACTGTAATAAAATTTCATTTATTGTAAGTTTATTCAACACTAACACTGTAAAAATTCACCTTCATTTTAAACTTTTATACAATTCAATTTATATTTAAACCTGCTCAGTTACTATTGGGGTCTATTAAACTTAAACCTTGTTAAAAATATGTTTTTTTGGAAACTATCCCGATTAGTTGCCTAGCCTGCCACGTATTTTATAGTAGAGTAGAGCCTCGATTACCCGACCCCAGATTAACCGCCACCTCGGTTAACCGACCGTCCTAGTCGGCAAATGTCAAATGTCCGCTAGTGATGTGGCGATACAATATTTGGCTATGTCTCGGCTATTTTAATATTATTTTTACGTGTTTTAGCTAGCAACACTCATTCGACCATGAAAGGGAGCCAGTATTTAAACGAGGCTTAATTTTCTAATTTTTAACGATACAATAGCGACGATTATTATTTTAAAAATTGTTTGTTAGGCTTAACATCGATGAAAATTCAACGCGAAATAGGTTAATAGCGATAAACTAATATACTAATTACATGGGATATAATAATATATCACACTAATAATGGATTTTTTCATACTTTTCGGTTATCCGACTTTTCAATTATCCGACCAACCCCANTTTTTTTTTTTTTTTTTTTTTTTTTTTTTTTTTTTTTTTTTTTTTTTTTTTTTTTTTTTTTTTTTTTTTTTTTTTTTTTTTTTTTTTTTTTTTTTTTTTTTTTTTTTTTTTTTTTTTTTTTTTTTTTTTTTTTTTTTTTTTTTTTTTTTTTTTTTTTTTTTTTTTTTTTTTTTTTTTTTTTTTTTTTTTTTTTTTTTTTTTTTTTTTTTTTTTTTTTTTTTTTTTTTTTTTTTTTTTTTTTTTTTTTTTTTTTTTTTTTTTTTTTTTTTTTTTTTTTTTTTTTTTTTTTTTTTTTTTTTTTTTTTTTTTTTTTTTTTTTTTTTTTTTTTTTTTTTTTTTTTTTTTTTTTTTTTTTTTTTTTTTTTTTTTTTTTTTTTTTTTTTTTTTTTTTTTTTTTTTTTTTTTTTTTTTTTTTTTTTTTTTTTTTTTTTTTTTTTTTTTTTTTTTTTTTTTTTTTTTTTTTTTTTTTTTTTTTTTTTTTTTTTTTTTTTTTTTTTTTTTTTTTTTTTTTTTTTTTTTTTTTTTTTTTTTTTTTTTTTTTTTTTTTTTTTTTTTTTTTTTTTTTTTTTTTTTTTTTTTTTTTTTTTTTTTTTTTTTTTTTTTTTTTTTTTTTTTTTTTTTTTTTTTTTTTTTTTTTTTTTTTTTTTTTTTTTTTTTTTTTTTTTTTTTTTTTTTTTTTTTTTTTTTTTTTTTTTTTTTTTTTTTTTTTTTTTTTTTTTTTTTTTTTTTTTTTTTTTTTTTTTTTTTTTTTTTTTTTTTTTTTTTTTTTTTTTTTTTTTTTTTTTTTTTTTTTTTTTTTTTTTTTTTTTTTTTTTTTTTTTTTTTTTTTTTTTTTTTTTTTTTTTTTTTTTTTTTTTTTTTTTTTTTTTTTTTTTTTTTTTTTTTTTTTTTTTTTTTTTTTTTTTTTTTTTTTTTTTTTTTTTTTTTTTTTTTTTTTTTTTTTTTTTTTTTTTTTTTTTTTTTTTTTTTTTTTTTTTTTTTTTTTTTTTTTTTTTTTTTTTTTTTTTTTTTTTTTTTTTTTTTTTTTTTTTTTTTTTTTTTTTTTTTTTTTTTTTTTTTTTTTTTTTTTTTTTTTTTTTTTTTTTTTTTTTTTTTTTTTTTTTTTTTTTTTTTTTTTTTTTTTTTTTTTTTTTTTTTTTTTTTTTTTTTTTTTTTTTTTTTTTTTTTTTTTTTTTTTTTTTTTTTTTTTTTTTTTTTTTTTTTTTTTTTTTTTTTTTTTTTTTTTTTTTTTTTTTTTTTTTTTTTTTTTTTTTTTTTTTTTTTTTTTTTTTTTTTTTTTTTTTTTTTTTTTTTTTTTTTTTTTTTTTTTTTTTTTTTTTTTTTTTTTTTTTTTTTTTTTTTTTTTTTTTTTTTTTTTTTTTTTTTTTTTTTTTTTTTTTTTTTTTTTTTTTTTTTTTTTTTTTTTTTTTTTTTTTTTTTTTTTTTTTTTTTTTTTTTTTTTTTTTTTTTTTTTTTTTTTTTTTTTTTTTTTTTTTTTTTTTTTTTTTTTTTTTTTTTTTTTTTTTTTTTTTTTTTTTTTTTTTTTTTTTTTTTTTTTTTTTTTTTTTTTTTTTTTTTTTTTTTTTTTTTTTTTTTTTTTTTTTTTTTTTTTTTTTTTTTTTTTTTTTTTTTTTTTTTTTTTTTTTTTTTTTTTTTTTTTTTTTTTTTTTTTTTTTTTTTTTTTTTTTTTTTTTTTTTTTTTTTTTTTTTTTTTTTTTTTTTTTTTTTTTTTTTTTTTTTTTTTTTTTTTTTTTTTTTTTTTTTTTTTTTTTTTTTTTTTTTTTTTTTTTTTTTTTTTTTTTTTTTTTTTTTTTTTTTTTTTTTTTTTTTTTTTTTTTTTTTTTTTTTTTTTTTTTTTTTTTTTTTTTTTTTTTTTTTTTTTTTTTTTTTTTTTTTTTTTTTTTTTTTTTTTTTTTTTTTTTTTTTTTTTTTTTTTTTTTTTTTTTTTTTTTTTTTTTTTTTTTTTTTTTTTTTTTTTTTTTTTTTTTTTTTTTTTTTTTTTTTTTTTTTTTTTTTTTTTTTTTTTTTTTTTTTTTTTTTTTTTTTTTTTTTTTTTTTTTTTTTTTTTTTTTTTTTTTTTTTTTTTTTTTTTTTTTTTTTTTTTTTTTTTTTTTTTTTTTTTTTTTTTTTTTTTTTTTTTTTTTTTTTTTTTTTTTTTTTTTTTTTTTTTTTTTTTTTTTTTTTTTTTTTTTTTTTTTTTTTTTTTTTTTTTTTTTTTTTTTTAATAAACAACGAGTAATCGTCCGTGAATGAATTAAAAACTGATTTTTTTATAATGATTTTTCAGGTGTATGATAGTAATACTTTGCTATGTTTTATCAACATAGGAAAGTATTGTTTTTCTATTTTCACACCCAAATATAATACGTTGTTTGTTTTACTTTATAGTATGTTCGCGATACTGTTTATAGACTTAACGAAAGCATATTATAATGTTACAACATCGAAATTATTAAAGGCATTATAAGAGATAAATATTAACAACACGCTTATAAAAGGAGTTAAAGAATTATATAGAGAATCTATAACAAAAATAAATATTGGGAAAAAATATCAGAAAGATTTACGGTGTCAAAAAAAACTAAAACACAGATGTTGTATCTTACCAAGTTTATTTAAAATGTACGTAGAAGGAGTATCGAAAATATAGAAAAGAAAATGTTATAATATGGAATAGATATTAATTGTGAACCAATGTTTACATTGCAATTTGCAAATAATCAGATGATA